GCCCGTGCTTACCTTGCTCCCGAAGACCTCAATAACATGTATTAAAAGAAAGAAAAAGAAACGCTCCCCAGAGCTGATAGAGAAAAAACGCCTTGCCCTACAGCTGGCACCCTAAATTTGGACTTCTAGCTTCCGAATTGCCAGAGAATAAATTTCTGTTTGTTAAAGCCATAGAGAGGGAGAGATTACAGCCTTGGAAACACCGGGGCGGGGGGCAGTTCTACTCTGTCCTACAGGGTCCCTTTGAGTCAGAACAGACTCCAGGGCAATGGGTTTTTCCATTCACCTCTGTGCACTTAATGCAGTTTCCAAACCTAACTCACTGCCAGGGAGCCAATTCTGACTCCCAGTGGCTCTGCCCCCCCTCAGGTTCCCAAGGCTGTAAATCTTTAAGGAGACAGATTGCCTCATCTTTCTTCCATGGAGTGGCTGGTGGGCTAGAACCACCAACCTTTTCATTAGCAGCTGAATGCTTTAACCACTACACCACCGGATTTCCTTAAGGCAGTCTGTCATTGTTTTATTTACTAATCTGTTTACCGGTTTGTACATTTCTATCGCTCCTCCACTTCCTCCCACCTTCTCTAGATTGAATCCCACAAACGTGGACTGTGTCCGTCCTATTCTGGCTCTCTTCAGCCGCCGGCACATAGTGGGTGCTTTACTTGCTAAACAAATGAATGTAAGCTCCATGAGGGCAGGGACCCCCCATCTCTGTGTCTCTCAGCTCTGAATCTATTGTCTAGAACAACACTTGACACACAGTAGGTGCTCAACAAATATTTACTGAATTAATGAATTTACAGGCCAAAAGGGCAGGAATGTTCTGATTTTTCCCCATCTCTAGCCCCGGCACAGGTCCTTAGGTGGCTGTTATGAATAGACATGTGTCTCCCAAAAGCAGATGTCAGAATTTGCCATGGATTGAATTGTGTCCCCCCACCCACCCAAATCCGTGTCCCCTTGCCTGGGCCATGATTCTCAGTGGTTTGCCATTTATGTGAGGATGTCATGTGGCAGGTATGTCATGATTCTCCCTGATGTGAGCCGATGTGATCAGCCAATCGGGTGCAAGAGGGTTAAGAGTGGGTTGCGACACCCTCAGCCCCATCCCAGCCCTGATCCCTTGTAAGGGGAGTGTCCTAGGGTGTGGCCTACAACACCTTTAATGTCACAAGAGATAAAAAGACAGAGAAAGGAGCTGAGAGGGGGGACCTGCTACCACCAAGAAGGAGAAGACAGGACTAGAGTGCGTCCTTTGGACCGGGCCCCCACACTGGGGTCCTCCTAGGAACAGGGGACACAGGGAGAGAAACCCTTCCCCCAGGGCCTGCACTCTGAACTCGGACTTCCAGCCTCCTGGAATAATAATAAAAAAAAAAACCACTGACGTCGAGTCGACGCCAACTCATAGTGGCCCCCATTGGGTTTCTGAGATGGTAAATTTTTACAGAGTGGCTGGTGGGTTTGAACCGCCAGCCTTCTGCTTAGCAGTCAAATGCCTTAGGCACTACGGTACCAGAGCTCCTGAGCCTCCTAAAGTGTGAGGGAGTAAGTGTCTGTTAAACCGTCCACTCGTGGTGTTGCTGTTACAGCAGCTCTCGGTAACTAAAGCCAGAATCGGCCCCGCTGCCCCAGTGGCTACAATCCCACAGGGGACTAGGGTTTGCTTGCTTATGTCAATGAGGCCAGGGGCCGGCAGGGTTAGTCTGAAGCCAATCGTCTCTGAGATAGGAAGCAAGCTGTACGTGAAGAGCGAAAAGCAGAGATGGGGGCACGGAGACGCCAGGCCCCATGCAGATCAGGAAGGGACCA